TACAAAATGGAGGAGACCGATCTGATCGGAGCAACTGTGACAAAAAATCCAAATGAAACCGGCATGGACAATGACTATGTTTTAAAAATGCGCTTATCCAGAAAAGCCTGTTTTGGACACTTTATGGGCAGAAGGAACATTTCTATTAAAGAAAAATTATAAATGTCTGTCTTTTTATACCTTTATTAGCTACTAACTTGAATTTGTATTCCAATTAATTAATCAATTATCTTTTATATGTATATATTTTTTTTTTTAAAGTCTAAATATGATATTTGGCCTCAAATCATCTGAGGTTGGGAACCACTGCTCTAGAAGGCCCGGTAGTTCACTGGCTCGAGACAGAGGAGATGAATGCGACGAAGCAATTCATGCCGTTTTATTGTTTTTAACGTTGAAATGGCAAGTGCAACAGGTGAAGATGATGTTTTTGCAGAATTGTTGTGAGTACCCTTTTCAAGACGACAATCCAGTGAGAAGACGGACATTATAGCGGCGGGGGGTGTGTGTGTCTACAGAAGGTCCAGTTGTGATAGACACGGCTCGCCACTGACTGTGACACTGAATTGTTTAGAAGAAACAGATCAATCTGGTTCGAATTTCTAAGCACTTAAAATGATACATAATTATTTGAACAATGTGATGTAATTCAGTGCAGGTCTGAAAATTGTTTTCATCATTAAGTGTCATCAAGTGTCGGAGACCCGACTTGTGCAAAGCAATTACAGTAGGAACAAATGCAACTCCCCCAGAAACAGCATGATCTTCACTGAGCAGTCTTTAGTCCCCCACTCAGCTCGTCTGATCATGAAAGCTTCAGTTTGGAAATGTAGCACATGCTTAAACTATCACATAGCAATCACAGATAAAAGGTTGAAGTAGTGCTGTTCTTTCACTAAATAGCTTATTAAACATTTCAGTATCCTTGGTTCATCATACACTCGCATGGCAAAGCACACAACGGCACCTTATGCTGATCAGAGGTTCTGGATCAGAGGTTCTGGATCAGAGGTTCTGGTAAAAACATGTTAATCTTTTGATTATGAATTACAAGGAGCCAACAGTCATAGTTTGAGACACGGACCAAAGTTATTTAATCTTTCACTTTCACAAGGCATGTGGCCTACAGGACACAGCCTTATTTTCTAGCCTTAAATAAAAAAATATCAAAAGGACAACAGATTCAAGCACTTTTGGATGTCCTTTCTTTCTGGTGAGATTCAAAATCACAATCCTCCTCACTCCCTGGTGTTTGAGCTCCAAAACTAAACGTTGTTCGCCGGCCTCTCTCCTGCTTACCGGTCTCTGACAGAGCAGCAGCCACTTCATTTTGTGTGGAGTAGATGTTACACGCAGTCCAGCGGCACTGAGCCCCGAGAGCCACCAGAGTCTCGATCAGCACCTGAAACACAGAGGGAAGTATGAGCAAACGGTCCAATAAGAGCTGGTCCCTGATCACAAACAGACTGCAAATCAATATGTATATGTGTATTATTCAATAACACTGAAGGTTACGATGAACCAGGCCTGGATTATGATTTATTTGGATCAACTGGTTGTCGGTGGCTGATGATGTTCTTAATGAAACACAGCCAGATAGTGTATTTTATGGACACACATTCCACAGCACTCGGGAAATGTGAATAGAATGGATCTAAAACGCTCTCCTGATTAAGAGGCACTTTCACACGGCAGCCTTTGCGTCGGCTTTGAAGCTCAAAGTCAGAGAGTCTTACTGCAGTCTGGGCGGTGATGTGAGTGCAGCCCACGATTTTGGCACCTGCCAACGGTTTCTCACTCTGTGCTCTCTTCCTGAGAGAGATCAGCGCCGTCATATCTGAAAACGAGCCAACATTGAAAAAAAAAAATGTGATGAGTGGGAGACACAGCGGACAATGCTCAAACTCTGTACCCTGAGTTTAAGAACATATAGCTGGATAAAAGACCACTTTTAAATTTAATTTTAATTTTTAATTTATTTTTAATAATTATATTATTACATTTTCTATAAGTGTGGTGATGAGGTAAAATTGTTGGATCTAACACTTGGATCAGTTAGTTAAAATATAAAATGACAGGATTAGAATAATTTACGTAACATTCAATAATAACCAAAAAGTGAATTTTGACTTGCTGTGTTTCACCTTGTTCAGCGATCTCAATCTCACGTCTGCCAAACTCAGCCTGTTTGATGTTCTTCACACAGAAGTCGCTGCTGCCCTTGGAGTTGACCTGAGTTTTGTCCCGTGGTGAAGTCTCATCGTCAGAGCTATCCGTATAGGAAGCAGCTGGAACAAAAAGAGCTTTTTAAACAACTAAACACAATAAAACCAACAAAGGAAAAGATGGTTTGAAGAAACGGAGAGCTCCAAATACAGCATCATCTCCTTTTCGGTTACCACTATGGAGGTTAACATTTTGAAATAACACAGGTTGTTTTTTGGTTTTCTTTCTCTTACCGGAGCCGTAGCTGTCTGTGGACGACTGAGAGATGGAGCGGGACAGCGAGCGACGGCCTGCCTTTGTAGGGAACCTGCTGAACTCCTGCTTGTCCTCCACAAACTGGATTTGCTGGTATAAAAAAAGAAAATGTAATGTGACTAGCTGTACATGCATAACTGAATCTATTATAAATATAGGCATGACACACATAAGCAATATGAAAGATTGCAATTGTTTTTAAATTACCTATAAAAGGTGCCCTTTTGATTCAATATCTCTACTGCCAGAGGCCGGGTCAGGATGAGCATCAAGTGGGTTTCATTTTCTGAGTACTAACAGTGCATCACAATGGATGACAACACATTCAAACACAACCACAGACACAAAGAACACAGGGCTCAGGGGCAACAAAACTAAATCAATGCAATGAATGCTAGTTTTTATTAGCAACATCATTCTCCTGTTACATTTGAAGGTATTGTGTCCAAAGAGGGTTATAGTTTGGTTCAGCTTTGGACTCGGAGTATAGTTCAAGAATCAAAACACAGCACAACCATTTAAGTCAAAGTCTTCTTTTGTTGTTGTTGCCTTGCTTGAGTTGAGTTTCTTCCAACTGAAAATTGTAAGCTCATTTTGCTCTATTGCCAAAAATAGAATTATATGTATTATATAAATAAAATACAAATTATAATGTTGCATGTGAATTGTAATAGTTAATTTATTTCCACAATTATGTGACTGGCCTAACTAGATATCAGCTTGTCTCTTATTTGTATAAAAAGCAGCTAATTAAGGCTCATGAAAAGCAAGTGAGTGTTTGCATTTTTAAAAAGAAAGAACTGGTTTTTGCTTTGTGTGCATAGCTTTATGCCTAGTCAGCTAACTTTTTTCACAGCAGTAAACTGATTTTTTTTGTTGACAGGGATTCTGCAGGCACTGAAGCAACATGATACAGTGAGAAATCTCCAGGTGCTGTAACGTTATCCTGAGTCTCGGTGTAGAGAATGGACAGGCACACACCTCAGCAGGCTCTGAAATAACTTGTTAACTCATTTTGGTCTCAGTAATAACACCTAAATCTGCCTTGGACAGATAAAGAATCAGAGCACGTTAATAAATGAGCCTACATAGTACAGTGTGTGCCGGCCTCATTGTCCTCCTCATTGAAGGAGAGTCAGGTTCTTCATCCTGATAAGGTCAGTGTCTAGTTTCTAGGTTAGGCCTGCTTCTGAAAAGCCTCCACATACCACAGACATGGCAACAGAGAACAATGTGAAGCTGTTTTCCTGAGATTGGGGTGACGAGATCACACATAGTTCCCCCCGGACATGACAGAGTCGGTTACAGCCTGACTGATACTGAAAGACTAATATTGGTTTCCTGCTATCTGATTATTAAAAAAGCCACAGATTTGATTTTTTACCTGCATAACATAGTGCTTCCTATACACTCCGAGCCTTATTCCAAGTGATGGTGCCGATGATGAGTTGGGTTGATGAAGTGAAGGTATGTAATGGTGCCGCTTGATTGTATCGTTATGCAGGCTCAAGCATTTGGTTTACAGATTTTTACCAGATATTTTATGTTTTTCTTCATGGTCTCTTACATAATCAAAATGCACCTTATTTTAAGTCAATAATGTTGAAGCTGCATGTGCTTCTGTTTTACCCGGCTGAAAGAGAAAGTTGGAGTCAACTAATTCCCAAAGTTACTTCCATTAAGCTTGCAACTGAACTTGCAACCATCTAAATATTAACGAGAGAACATAAACAGGAAACTCATCACCTGTAACATACCGCTTTAACACCGTGAATATAAATGGCTTCCACTGGGCTTTTTGAGCACATACACAACATGGACAAAGCAAACAGTCCTCCTCTCTCTCCCTTTGACACATTGACATTACAGATGAAAGCTCGAAACAAATGACTATCCAGATTTACATAAAACGTATAAATAGGTGTAGCAGTAATATTTGGCTATAGTTTGCTGTAATATTAAGTTCCTCCCAGAGAGAATGAGGATGTGAAAGTCCATTGTAAAGCTGCCAGGGTGACTAATCAATCTCCCATCAGACAGATTCCTGGTCACAGTGAATGTGCTTGCACAATGTTAAAAGACAATAGTGTGCACATTTGTCAACTCCAACCTAAATAAGGTGTGCAAATATTTGTACAAGAAAATTCACAGTGCAACTCTTCCTTGTTCCTACAGAGCGTCAGCTAACATCCTTCTTTTGTGAGTGTTACATGGAGCAAGTCATTGAGTTGTTATCTGGAGTTGGATGTGGCAAGAAAATGAAGCAATTCATGTGAGACCAAAAAGAGAAATGGCTTTTCTTTTAAAAAGCATTATAGATGAATAGTATATGTATTACTTTGTAGTAATTGTAAGAACATTTAATCTGCCAAGTGTGTCCTCTCTTACTGCTTCAATGTCTGGTATGAATGAAAAAAGAAGCGATCCTATTGCTGTCCTCTTCTTTTCTTTAATTATTTATTTTCATGTCTAATGAGGGCTATGTAATTGTCCTGTATTCTTTTTATTGTATTTATATTATTTTGAGAGATGGGAATGCATCTCCCCTACCTGTTGTTGTTGTTGTTGTTGTTGTTGTTGGTGTGTCCTTATGTGTCTCCTGCCTATACTAAATACATATGTTTTATAAAAGGAACGTTAACATGTTTATAATAATGCTTGACCCATATGCACAAATGCATAATCCACATGCAATATAAATAGTCCTGTTACTGCAGTATCACCACGTTGTTATGCAATACATTGTTATTGTAATAATCGTAATACAATAATTGTGAAAATCTTTATAAGTGTATATTTTTCCTTTGATGTAACATTGCTTACAAAATTATGTTATCTGTATTAACCTTGCCAGTAAGGTATAGACTTTTATCTTAATATATCAAAGAATAGAAGATATAACGGAGTAACCTGGGGGCAGGTAATAGTACATATTTTATTGCCAATGTATTGGGGTACAACTGACTCCATGCAATAGCATAATCAGCACAGACAACGTGAACACATTATTTTTGACAGAGCTAAAAGCAGCTCTACATTTTTAAGACTGTCTTACCTTTTTGACAGGTTTGTGAGTGGGCACCGCGCTGAAGGCGGACGACAGGTCTCCCATGTTCATTTCGCTGTTCTTGCTTACGGTCATAGCTGAATATTTTTCAGCTACATTTTCGCTCTCTTTCACCTCTTTGCTGGCCTGTTTCACCTCCAGTTTCACCTCCACGGCCGGGTCCGACATGTTGACGCTGTTGGTCGGTCAGAGATAGAACCACCGTTGGGGTCTCTGTCAGAGGAGCTAACGTCAACCTGCTAGCTAACTACTCTGCAACAGCGAGCGGAGGAGATGCCTTTTAAATCACGTAAATGTAAAACTAAAAAGTTAAAGCAATATTAGAGGACACATATGTGAGTACTCCACTTGAATTAGGCGCTGACAAATGTCTTTATGTTGCGTGTTGGGCTGCGTAGAGTCGCTGCTGTCTCCGCTGTCACCTGGCTGCTGAGTTACTTTGTGGGCGGTAACCGGGGTAGGATTTATACAGCTGCGTTCAGTGGCAGTCGGACAACAAAAAGAACGGTGGAGGAAGTCAGATCACTGTAATAAATACTGTTTTAAAAGTGAAGGTTATGCGTTAAACAGGATGCGCAAGTAAAATGGTGTAAGAATAATCAGGAAACTGTACTCTAAGCTATTTTGTTTCTATTTTGAATGAAGTTTGACTGCAACTAATGCAATAGTGTAAACAGTCACTTCAAACACACTATCAAAGTGTTGCTCTTACAGTCCATTCTCTACACAGGTTTTCTTCATTTGTTAAGATTAATTGAAGCTGTTGGATAAATATAGTGTACAAATAACTACAGTAAATTTCCCTCTGAATTGTCGTTTGGAAGAAGCATAACGTGGCATAAAGTGAATAGTAAAGGTACCTCAAAACTACTGAAGTACCGCAGGCCCACGTTAGTACACTCCACTATGAGTTTATTGAAATTACATTTTTCTAGTGTGTGTGTTGGACTGGGAAACAGGTTCAGTTGGAGCACTACATTCCCAGTTGTTTTCAATGCAACATTAAGCTCATCGGAATCCTCATTCACAACGCATGCGATCTTGGCTTTTACTGGCTTCAGGTTGCAAAATATAAATTACTATCCCCCTTCAAGTCACGACACGTTGTGGCTTTGAAAGTAGATTTTATTTAGCATTTGCACCTTGGTTATAATAATATCCAAGACACACATCTGACACGGCTAGTTCTCACTATAGGCTGCAAACCAGCTACTCGATTATTACACTGTTTGATACTGCGTAAATTAACGAATACCCTTGTTTTAGTTAGATTTACACATGGTTTTCTTAAGGTGGGACAATATTGTTCAATCTATCCCCATTGAGCCTCAAAAGCCTCTCTGCAAACCTTAGGGGGAACAAATAGCGTCTGTTTAAAACTTGCAAAAGGGGACTATAAGGTATGCATCAATGCATGTCCACATAAAAGGATGAGCAGGTGTAAACAATGGATGAATTTAAGCAAACTACCTCAAACCAAACTGAAAACAATGCAGGTATTACTGTTTAGTGAAGAACATTAGTTAGGTATTGTGTGCATGGCTGAAATGTGCTGTGTACATTTTGCATGGTACAGCAACCAGACAAAAGTTGAATCTAAGTTTATCTTTATTTGGCTATGATAGGATGTTAAGGAGAAGCCCAACACATATCCTATATTAACAATAGTCTGGGATGGCAACAACTCAACTCTCGGTTACATTCAACCCTGCACAACTTGACCTTTATTCATGCAGATGATAATAGAGGTACATTTGCATGAGCAAACATTGTTTTGGTGTCACTCTGGGCAGGGGCTCTTGCATTTCACACGATGAGCAAATAGAGGTGCATACAGAGCCCGGATTTAGATGCTATAACTTTATTCTCAATACATGCATAGTCAAATGTTACGGATGGGCCAACAGAGAGAGCAAAGAACACTCATACAAATGTGATATATAATAATCAGCATAATAACGTTTACTGCAAGATTTTATTCAAGCACATTATGTGATAATGATAATAATGTAAACCAGTGTAGCTTTTATTTCTTATTTTGTGCAAATTGACTGCATAGGAACCCACCATGCAGAACTGACTGCTTTGATTGGTTAACAAATACTAGACACTTGAGTTTAAAGTACATTTCCAATACACTTTGAGTTGATTGAGGTTGTGTTTTGGGGTATATATAATTGTCTATAGTGAGATTGAGCTGGCTGCAACAATAGACTGGTTGCAATTTTGTTTCTGGGCATTCAAAAAATAAACCTAGCCAGAGTGTTGAAACAGCGCCACCACGACTAAATGGTCTCCCACGCTGTGGCCGAAGGTGGTATCGCAACTTTAAACTATAATGCCTAATTATTCAAAAGATAATTTCAATTGATCACTTGTTATGTGGTTTAGTATGTATGCTTTGCGATGTTGTTCATTTCAATACGGATAGAGAGAAGGTGATAATACAATCAGTATGAATTAACCCCGCCTCCCGGTCCCCCCGGATTTACAAACGTATTTTCCGTCAAGCCATTTTCCACCGACCACCGAATAAACCAACCAACCGGAGAAGCGGATAATCGGTGCCGGTTAATTGCAGGTAAGAAAAAAACAGGTAACATTTTAACGACACTTTCAATTTTGTGTGGTGCTAAAACTTGACCTACTTGCGTTGCATTATCCCACTGCTTCATTTTGTTTATCCTGAGCTTTTGTTCGAATCCTGTGCTGCTAGCATTAGCATTAGGCCTCAGAAATATGACAGCCATTTTAGCTATGGCTAACTAGCCACCAGCTAGCATTAGCTTCACATATTGGAAACCTCATGTTAAACGCATTCTAAAAGCGGAACATAGTTAACAGTATAACGTCAAGACGTTCAATTGAACAAAGGCTTCTTCGCCCTATTTAGGGATCAGTAGGAGGGAGTTAAACTGCCATGAATACTATTTGTAGTGAAGCTAAAGTTAGCATACTGTCAGATTCTAGCCCAAGCTTATTTCCTTTTCCAAGTACTTAAGCATGTAGAACATATTGTAAACATTCAGCACGTTTTGTGTTACAGTAAAACAGTTACGATAACCTGAAATCATCATTAACATGATCATTTATTTTCCCATCACACGCTAGGTTAGTTTAGACTGCTCGTTTAAGCTTAAACCATAAGATAACAGAAAACGTTAGTGCATGGTAACGTGTTTATCTGCTGCACCCTGGGCCCTTTATGGGTCCTGTTGTGATGCAGGGTGATAGACGTCTTTGTCTGTCCAGGTTCCGAACTATTGTTATATAATCATGTAGAGAGACAATACATTTTTCATGGTTCTGTTGTCAAGAAACCATTCACTAAAGTCTAAACTGTTGTATTATTAATATTGTCATCTTTGTTTTCTTTTTTCAGATCCAGTCATGCATCGTGACTGTCCTCTCGACTGCAAAATCTATGTTGGAAATTTGGGCAACAATGGAAACAAGACAGAGTTAGAGAGGTCATTTGGCTACTATGGTCCTCTCCGCAGTGTTTGGGTCGCCAGGAACCCTCCAGGCTTTGCATTTGTAGAATTTGAAGATCCCAGAGATGCAACTGATGCGGTGCGTGAGCTTGATGGAAGGTAGGCAGCGATCTTAACTCATTTTATAGAGGAAGTGGCCAACACTGGAGGTACAAGTCCATCTTGATGCAGCTGCAATCATGACTGATGGCTGTTTTTTTATTTGTTTATACAGGACGTTGTGTGGTTGCCGGGTGCGAGTGGAGTTGTCCAATGGTGAGAAGCGCAGTCGCACCCGGGGCGCTCCCCCACCATGGAGCAGGCGTCCTCGAGACCGAGACGATAACCGGCGTCGTAGCCCACCAGCCAGAAGAAGGTGACCAATGTTGTTATTTTACAATGCCCAGATTTCTGTGACGTACACTCTCTTACCCACAGTATATTTCCTGGTAGTTGCTTGTGTTTTCCAGTCTGGGCATTTCTAGTGTTTGTAATCTTTTCTGCTGATTTATACATTTGTGGTAGTTTCATTTTCATTTATATTGTTGGTCATGTTATGTAAGGAGCCATGCAGATAGACATTCATAACCAAATAATGAAGAATGGCATGGGAATAGGACTGTATACTAGGGTTATTCAGGGAAGTCTCTTTATTTTCTAAAAGCGTCTTAAAATCTGGCCTGCAAAACTTCTACTTCTACTCTATGCTTCTTTTTATAATATGTTGTGCACTCTCAAAATGTAAGTGCATTTTAACTGCTTAAAAATGGCAGAATCGGTCTGTGAAATTAAATTAAGCAACTCCTATGTCAGAAAAATATAGTCTGTTTTAAATATTGGGGGGTAAAGTGCCAAATGTGATGCATTCTTTACCTTTTGTTTGAGGATGCTTTTTATTTTTCATCTATATTAATAAGAATGAAACCCGTTACAGAGCCGTCACCATGCCTCCTCTCACCATCCTCAATCAACTAGTCCTCTTTCAGCATCATGTGACTGCTGACCATCGTGCATCAATCAGCTTGGGTGGTGCTGTCACATGACCCAGGCATGGCCAGTCGTCAAGTTGCACCAACCCATTGGTTCCTCAGCATGCCGTTCTCAACCTCCTCCTCCTTCAACCTTAATCCAAACGCCAGCGGCCCACCTCACATTCCCGACCAATCAGCGTATTACGTACCCAAAAGTCTACAACCAACAGCAGCCTACGGCTAACCAATTAAAGCAGGAAAAAAGCCAGAGCCAGCCCCCATCTGCCTGCCACCTAATCACCTTGCAGCATCTGGTCAGCCCTATTCAGCCTATTCTACCTACCTACCTACCTACCTACCTACCCGGCCGGCAGTCTGCCTCCCTTTCGTCATATCTAGCTTGTTGAAAACCAAAAATACTAGTAAGTTTTCCTGCTTCATTCAGTACACTGCTGATTACAGTTTTGAAAGTGAAGAGCTGGTGTCGAAAGGTTGTTCTTTTTTTAATTATTTCAAACATAAGTCTGGAATTTCACATTTCCAGAGATTTAGATTATAGAAAAAAATGTGGTATGTCTGGGGCTCTGAGCAGAATTAGGAAGGCACACAAAAACTCTCCTCAACCCCCCCAATGAGTGTTTAAAACTGTGTTTTGTGCTGTATCGTTGGTTTTAGTAGATCTTAGCCTGGTTGTTTCTCAAGACTTACTTCCATTGACCAGTATATTCTTTTTGTTACCAGCTTCCAATACCTAACGCTCTCCTTTTTAGATGCAGTGGACCAGTTTCATACAGATTGTGGTTCTTAGTATCCCCACACCTTGGCCAATCCACAGTGCAGCGTGTTGCTAGTAGGCTTACTTCCATTTTGCTATGATTTTAAGTCCCAGACAAATATATAAACTGTACAACACATCCTACTCTACCACCTAAAATGTATTTTATTCTCACAACATTTACTTCAGGATGCGCTGTGGAATAAGTGAAAGATTATTAAAAAGCACCTGCCATCTTTATGCACTAGGTCCATTGTCAGTGAGTTATATTTTATGATTGAGATATTTGTGTTCCTGGAAAACACCCCAGTGATTTATTTCTATTTTTGAATGACTGAGATGGGCTGTGTTGAAGGAGGCCCATGTAGAGAAAGGATTGGAATAGTGTGGAGCTCTCCGGTTAGCTCATCTGTTTGTTTTTAACATTTTAGTATTTTCCTTGTGCAGATCCCCGCGCAGGAGGAGCTTCAGCCGCAGTCGAAGCAGGTAAAAATGTTTTATTCTACATTAAATATTTTGTAATTATTTTATATAGTGCAAATTAGGTATAGATATATATATTTTTTTTTTACATCTGTAATTGTGTGTTGTCTGAGGATTCAGAACTGTGCAGTCTCAAGTGGTAGCTTCTAATTAATTGACTTTCTTCTCATGCCCCCATCATTAGATATTGAGTGTATATATAAAACATGAAAAATGTTAACTTACCTAGATGGTTATGTTTCTTGCAGGTCTTTCTCCAGAGACAGGAAGAGGGAGAGGTCCCTCTCCCGGGAAAGGAACCACAAACCTTCAAGGTCTTTCTCACGCTCAAGAAGGTACTGCTTTATTTCGACAATGTCTAAAAATGTAGTTTGTTTAACAGATGTTTGACAGCTTAATGTGAAAACTTATAATATGCCTTGCCTTTCCAAATGACCCGTCATATGTTTTGTTATTTGATTGGCGTACTGCTTAAAGCTAAGGTCAGCTGGATTCTTGCTTACTTTAATGTTATTTTTCTTTCCCTGCAGCCGCTCCAGATCTAACGACAGAAAGTAGAGGAACGTCTGTCAGGTTCAAAGGGAGCTGAAGAGAAACGGTTGGCCGTCTCAAAATGATGGAGTTCAACAAGGCCGTGTGGCCTTTTTTTGTTTTTTGTTGAGTTTTTAAAACAATCAAGCATTTTAATGTCCCTCCCCTTTACCTGTTATTGTACTTGTTCACATGCATTGAGTGGGTGTGTAGTCCACGCTGTCAGTACTGAAAAAAGTCGTGGCACCCAGCATTCCAGCTCACCAGTTTTTGTCAATGAATGTACCGTGTAGTTTGACATAGTAAGTAGTTCCTCTTTTTCAGCTAAGTAAGGAGTGTGACGATTTCTGTTTTTTGATTGTCTGTAACCAGCCTATTTTTCAACGTGCTACTTTTCTTTCTTCACACTGAAGGTTTCCATCTGTCAATGGTTGGTTGTTTGTTAAAAAACACACCCACACATTAAAGATGCAAAACTATGGCATTTATTTAAAAAAAAAAAAAAAAAGTGTTATGAACACAAGACTGAATTTTGTCTATAAAGTTTTCCATGATTTTTCTTTTGTTTGATACAATGTGAAATGGTCTCTTAATTAAAGATACCGGTTTATTACAAAAGTACGACGGAGTATTAGGGCCACACTTAGAAAAAAAACAGAGATTTCGAGAATAAAGTCGTAATAATACGAGAATAAAGTCATAGTTACGAGATTAAACCTTTTATATATACAGTCTATGGATTAAAGTCGTAGTTTCATAAGTGACTTGAGAAGGAGACAACAGCAGCGTCCTGCAATACAATGAGGAATGTGGAGCATCTTGTGAAGCAGTACTTTAGTTTAGGTTTCTCAAATAACGAAATACTTCATCTTTTGGCACATCAGCATCAGATTATCATAAGTATTAGAATTTAGGTTGTGCAAGAAACTGTCTATTATTTTGAAGAAAGAACCAAACGGACATGGAGGAGATTGTCTCCTTTCTGCAGGAGGAAATGGCTGGTTCTGGCCGACTACAAGGCTATCGTTGGATACATCTACGAGCTGTTCAAAGGGGATTTTTTGTTTCACAAGAAACGATGAGACTTGTAATCAAGGCTTTGGATCCAGAAGGATTCGAACGATAGCCTTGTAGTGGAATCGGAATGAGCTCCCCATTGAAATAAGGACAGCAGAAAGCTTACATATCTCCCGGCGCAGACTGAAAACTGAAACCTGATACTTATAGGATTCTGTTCTTGGTCGAATGCACTTACCGAATTCGCTTTGGATAAAAGCGTCAGCTAAATGCAATGTAATGTAATGTAGTCGGCCAGAAGCAGCCATTTCCTC